GATTTGGTCTTCTTGGGGGCCACAAAAAACAGGGGCCCTAGTTAAACAACCAAAACAAACAACAAACACACACCAAAAACCAACAAAAGAAAATGGAGAGTTATGAAACAGGTTAAAGAGTGTGTTAGCTTTACAAAAGGAACTTTCACCTCATCAAAGAGCTCAAGTCAGTGCATAGGATTGTAGCACTGGAAGACACAGAATTGATAATGGGCCAAACACCCTTCCCTTTTATGTATGAATTAAAGCAAGTCCTGGAGTCAAGGCACTGCTTAAGCAGGCACAGTGGTGTTGGTCTATTGTGTGGACCCAAACCTGAAATTCTCCATGCTCACTCAACACAACTCATTGGGGGGTCTCAGCCCTGCCCTTAGCACTGAAATGAAGCAGAATACTCTTGTAAGCCAGAAAGCTGGAGGGCCCAGGCAAAAAGGAAAGGCTTTTTATCTCAGAATGAGGAGATGGCTGAGTGGTGATACTCCTGCATCTCTTGGCGTCTCCAGCTCCCGTGGGACCTGCCCTCAATTGCTAAAAGAGCCTGACCTCTGACAAAGACCAATGATTTCAGCAGTAATTAATGATACTGTCAAATTAATTAACCCAAGTCTTTGTCCACAGGAAAAAAAAAAAACTCTCTAATGTCAATACTGCTGTTTACTAGTCCTTGACCAAGCTCTATAGATCCAAACCTTCAGTCAGGACACAGGAACACCATGGGCTGATGACCCCAGCGAGGTCCCACCTATTAAGCCATTTGTTAAGAAACCTTCTCACAGTAACATATCCTTTGATAATGGGACGTTAGTAAATTAACAGCTCTCCAAAATCTAACACGATTTTAAAAAGACACAAGCCCAAGAATGCCGGTGTGTATCATTCATATTTCCTACAATATGTTTTAGATACCCTTTTGAATTATGGTGATGAAACCCTAAACAAATGCTGTAGGATTTCATTAAGCCATTTAATAAATGGCCCTCATTAAAACGCTGGTTCCCTTGTCCTTGTCTATAAGGACTCTGACTCATAACAAATGCCCACGTATACATTTCCATATTATCTCTTTAGAGGATTCAGAACTATTTTCTTACACCTAACACGGCTTTTATTCCATTTAGAATAATTACCCTCCATCCCATTTCTGACTTTCAAGAAAAACAAGACATTTAATTGACCACAGGAGGACTCTCTCAAGGGCATCAGGCTGCAAAAGCTCTTCTGTGAGCTCACAACTTAAGCTGATGTAATCTGCTACAAGAAGCTGACTTCTATTTTTAAATCATACCCTTTTACTCTGCCTTCAAAGGGCACATATATCACACGCTGTAACTGCTCATAAAATACTTTGTGGTGTAGTCTCCCGTCCATTTCCCTCCTGGGGTGAATCACACTGTCAGAAGGGGCTTCCTACTGCTCACAGTCATCCAGCCCTGCACATTTAAATTCATCCACCATTTCCTATTATTTGGTCTTTAGGAGAATAACTACATATGGCCACACTCTCCAGGTGTCTTGTTTATCACGGTAATTTTGACAAGGAACAGATGACTAGCAGGGTCCTTCTTGAGGGCTGGGATCAAGCTCTTCCACTTCTTTGTATTTCCATCCCAAATATAGGCACTTAATAAATGCTTATTAGTGTTGCTGCTGAGAGATCTGTCATCAGGCCTATGTGCTTCAAAGGTTGCCAGAATGAAAACAGATTATTTGCTTTGTTTAATTTTAAGTTTTTCATTCATCGTTTTGGTCATGCTCATGGTGTGTTATTTAAAAGTTTCTTAGCACTTTGAAAATACTATGAGAAAAGCTTTGGTTGGAAGGGAAAGTACACTTGATCTTGCTATTTATTTATTTATACTTATTCTGCACATTTCTAAGAAGACAGAAGACTCTGTAATTAAAGTGCTGCCTCTGTGGAGTGTAGGAGAGGGCAGAACATATATTTCCCTGGTCTACGTGCATCTTGGTTCTGTGGCACCCCATGTCTCACCTAGATTTGTACAAGAGCCTCCCAAGCAGCTCTCCCAGCCTCAAGGCTTGGGTCCTTCCAACCCCTTCTCTATATTTTCTGGGTGAGCTAGTGAGAACACAGAGGTGGTTATGCTTCTTTGGGAAGCCTCTCCTATGTGTTCCCATGATACCATGTGCTACCACAGACAATGGTTCATCATACTGCATCAAGTTTACTTGCTTGATCCCCAAGTGACAACATGTGACAGGAGGGCAGTGATCACGTCTACTTATTCACTACTATACCTTTCTGCATCTGGCCTACCATGCAGTGGGGCTTCCATATCATTTGCTGGATGAAAGAATAAATGAATGAATGCATACTAAAGATTGCAACTCAGGGGATCACATCTGTGAGGATGAATTAGAATTCTGTCTCCTCAGAAAGTGTGAATGCAAAGAACTGAATTTATTGAAAAATACCACTTTTCGTTCAGGATTCATCAGTTGAAATATGAAGGTGACAGCTGGCTCTGCAGAGACTGAAATTCTCCTTCCCACAGTGGCACCTAAGAAGCCACCCACAGCCAGACCCCTCTCCCAGAGGATATAGAAAAGTGTTTCAGTAGCATGTTTCTGAGAGATAAATGGAGACTGTTTAAAATGGAATCCTGCTGGGACAAAACACTAAAGCTTGCTCACAGTTAAATTTCATGTTATAAACTTCAAGCAAACAGCACATTCCACAATTTAAATCCATTCCAAAGAAAGCGGCAAGCCACAAAATAATAATGTTACTTCTTACCTACAAAACCATCTGTCAATTCCAGGTGTGGGTGGTGGGAATCCCTATCGATCTGAGAAACAGAGTCTGGAACTTCAAGCTCAATGGCTGGAATGTGACCATCTGATACGAGTGCTAACTTGGGGGCCAGGTGCTGGCCAGTGAAAAGACAAATCTGGTCCCTGTCCTCATGGGCGGTCCTGCCTAATCAAATATCCACTTGAATACAGGCTTCTTTAAAAAAAAAAATTCTTTCCCTAAACTCAAAGTACACCATGTTCAGCTATTAAATTAAATCCAGGGCACATGGGATTGTAGAGTAAGGCATTGCTTCAGCTACTTCTGCATGGCAAAAAAATTTTTTAAACCATATTTTCCAAAATCAACAGATTGATGACACTAAAGAGTGGGTAGTGTTTCAACATTCAACCCAAATGACGAAGAGCTTGGTTTTTATTTCATCCTAACACAGCTAGTAACCACCTTCCAAAACAAAACCAAATAAACACAATTCCACGTGAAATTCTGCCTTCCAGAGTAAGTGTATGTTTATTTTTATTACACGGCACAAAAAAAGGCATTCAATAAATGTTTGTTGGATAAACAAATCACAGACAGGTATTACTATGAAAATAACTGTCAATTTTAGATACGTTCTTCAACTTTTTTTTTCCTCTTAAGGAAAAAATTTATGCCTATTTTCTAAGATTCTGACTTTCATTTCCTTGTCTGACCTTGGACTTGTTACTTAACCTAGGTATCACTTTCTTCATCTATAAAATTAAATTTGTATCTTGATTATTGTGAGGCTTAAAGGAAATAGTAAATATAAAATGACTGGCACTATTGCCTCCAAGTACGGTCTTGTTTGTTTGTTTGTTGTTTGAACTTCTCTACTCCATCCTCCTCCAACCCCCGAATAAAGTGTCAAAGACAAACCAAATTACTGGCCTGATTAGAAAGTCAGGAAATTTCTCATGTAGGCTGGGCCTTGATTTTCTCATTTATAGAATGAGTGAGTTTTACTAGTTCATGTCTTTTCAGTTCAGATTTTCCATGAATTCAGAAATCTGTCTTGCCAAGAATTTAGATGCTGCTACTACCTTAAGGTTATCTATAATCAGAAAATAAACTCCGATTCCCTTCATAAAGAGGGATTCCAAATTGCAAATGAAAATAAAATTTGGCTTTTAAAAGAATTTGTATCAATCTAATACTAAGCCAAGAATTGGTGACCCTATTCTTAAGCAACAGAAGGTCCCTCCTTTCCCCCATCACACAGACACACAGACACACACACAGACACACACACACACACACACACACACACATACACAACCTCCTACGCTCTAGCAGGGTTTCCCATTTACAACTCCACATGATGTACCTAAAAAGAAACCTTGGGATTTTAAGCAACATCACTAATTACAAATGGATCATTTGAAATGAGTAAGATAATTGACACAATATTATGTCAAACCTAACATTTGCTTGATTTTTTTTTCTTTCACATCCTGAAATACATCCAAATCAACCAAACAAAGAACTACCAAGACTGTACACAACAAAAAGTCATTGCATATTCATAAATACTCAGTATATGACTGCCACCTAGTGGTAGGATCTGTCTTCGTATGGCCAAATCTCCAAACAGCTAAATTGACGCAAGAGAATTAAAAAAACAAGGGAATATTGTTCTTCTGCTACTCACCAGTTATTTCAGGGAAATTTAAGAGCATACCCACCTCCTTAGCAATCTATTTTCCTCAGACAAATTTCTGAAGTGGTCTATTGCAGATGCCACATTAGTTAATCCCACAACCAAACCCCACTGCTTCTCAACCACTTCACAAAACAAAGGAACATTATTATTCTATTAATTTTAATACTCATTAGCAAGTAAAAAAGATTCCTCCAATAGCCTGTCCTCACTTCCTACTTTCATTTGATCTAATCTTGATTTTTAGTTATGCATGAGAAAGCATTTTGAAGTGACAACCTTACAAAAAGTGTACATTATATGAAAATCCGACTTCAATTAGAACTAGTTACTAAATCCCAGCAATTTTCAGCTGTCTCTTCTATCTTACCCTTAGAGAATTATATATCACATTAATTGGTATTCTGTCACATAAAAAGACACTGGTGATGATTAATTGCATCCTTGGTGCTTTTGAGTTATGTCTTCTTCACTAGAGTGATTCAAATCACACCTCATTACCTTTCAGCAGGTACCCCTCTTGGTAACCTTCATAAAATATCCTACCTTCCTGAACTTCTCCATTTGCTTGTAGAGGTCTGGATCAAGCTCCTGTGACACATCCTTCATCCATAATAATGCCCCTCTGTATTCAGTCCGGCACTGCTCCATGCGATTCACCGTCAGCCAAGTGTCTGAGATGGCCCGGTGCCGAAAAGTCTCCACTTCTTGGTGAAATCGACACAATGGATTTCGCAAGGCCAACCTAGACAAGAGGATAAAGCCATAATCTTGAAACTAAGCAGGCCATCAGTTTGCATCCTTGACAGTTTACCAATCTTAAACTCATGAGCCTAGAACAGTGCCTAGAATATAGACAATGCTGCAGAAATATTTGATGGATTATAATTGAAACGTATGAACTGATGAGTTCACCAGAAATGATTACCCATGTACTCATTCCTTAGATAACTGTTACTTGAATGTACCATTGGGAAGGGTTTCCAACAGTACTGTTGGGGGTGGTTTCATGCCTGGGCAAAGATTACCTGTCTGGAGTTGGAACCAATCCTGCGTTCATGGAGAAGGGTCAAGGCATAACCATTTCCCATTTCTATTCTTGGCATTCCCTGCTTCTGCTCCTCTGAAGCCTGGCTCTTTGAGAAGGGGTGGACTTGTATTTGACTAGGGTCTCCCTGGCTAGGTCATTGTTGGATTACTCTCCAAATGCTAGGAGTTCTGCTCCCACAGTCACAGAGAATAAAGCATGAACAGAAGAATTTTTAAATGGTCTAGGAAGGGAGAGAAGCACTGTGGATCTACTGTGTTAGGTACATTCAGATAGGTTATAGGATTGAGCCTTATAAAGAAACAAAACTTAAGGATTCTACCATAAATGAATGTATACCATACAATGAAGTGGATAGAAAATAATTATTAGTTGTAACACATCATCATTTATTAAGTAAAAAAAAATGTTTGAGGCATATCAAACTTTGGATGCAATATTTTACAGGGGAGGGAAATACTGCTTCTCCCATCTTCCTACCCAAGATGAGTAACATTACATGAATTACACTCTTAAGATACAGTTGTCTGCATGAACTTGCAGGGCACAGGTTCAAAACATAAAAATAAGATGAAGAATTACATCTCAAATGAAATGCAAACTTATTTAGCAGAAGGGAACAGTGGTGTTAGTGAGCTGAAGTCAGCGCTTGGCATCTCCACCAGCTTCTGCAGTGCCTCACATGTGTACAGCACAGGAAGATTACAGATGGGCCAATAAACTGTTTAAGAAAAAAACCCTTTATTATTTTCTCCAGTTTTCCTCTTTTCTGTAAAGCATTGTTTTTAAATAGTCAGCTCTTCTCTAAAAGTAGTTTGCTCATATCATCCTACCAAAGTGTTGCAGGTGGTTTTCAAAGACATATTATGGTGCCATAAAGTAAGCTTGTCCTTTATCACCATTGGATTAAATTTAATACCCATCTTTCATCAAATTGAATGCACAGTTGTAGCAATGACTATCAAATAAGTCAGTAAAACAAATGCTGGTGTGAAGGTTTATAAAACTGGAGACTTCTATTTAAAGAGAGAAAGAGTCCTCAGCTGTCCGCCTAAGAATCCTGTTCATTTCTGGACTCCTTCTTCTCTTCCCTTGGACCTTGCCAATTTCCCTAAACTGGCTGAAAAAGAGTCTTATGAATAAAATATTCTCAATTTCTTTGACTGTTGTAAAGTTAGACAGAAACCTTTGAAGAGGTAATGACATGATGATAGATGTTAAGATCTTAAAGGAAAGAAAAAAGCATACAAAATCACTTCCATTTTTTTCTGTAACTTGCTTCGCACAAGATTAGAAAGGTGAAAACCTGTTCATTTGTGGTACCAAGGACTGAGTTTAGACCAAGGAAAAACTCAATAACCAGAAATACCAAGCTTTAGTGGAAGACTGGCACACATTTTCATTGATGAAAACCTACACAAGGGGAATAATTAATAAAATGCCTAAATAAAGGTCTACTCCAAAGACATTTATCATTTAGCAGGAAAATGTGGAAGTGACCCAAGTAATAAACAGAAGGGCTCGGGTTAAGCGTATTGTGGAATGCCCTGGAACACTATGCTATAGTTGTTTTTTTTTTTTTTTTTAATGTTTGTTTATTTTTGGGACAGAGAGAGACAGAGCATGAACGGGGGAGGGGCAGAGAGAGAGGGAGACACAGAATCGGAAACAGGCTCCAGGCTCTGAGCCATCAGCCCAGAGCCCGACGCGGGGCTCGAACTCACGGACCGCGAGATAGTGACCTGGCTGAAGTCGGACGCTTAACCGACTGCGCCACCCAGGCGCCCCTATAGTTGTTTTTTAAAATGTATACATGGAGAACAAAAGGTGTTATGGCTATTTGATCACAAAATCAATTTGCTAAGTGATCAGCAAGCAGTACTCCAAAAAAACTGTCTGGTGGGATGCTGTTTCTATTAAAAATATATCCCAGCATATTTCAAATTACATCCATTCGAGATCTGAAAATTCAACTTTGTCAGAGTTTTATGTCATCATGGTAGGTACAGTCCTACCATATTTAGGAGGACTGGTGTGGATGTCATGTGCCCGGTCAGCAGCTGAGTGCTGTGAAACCAGGGCCACCTTGCAGGAGGTCACCTTCCAAATTTTAAAGTTGTCCAAGCTGCATTAAATTATGGATATAGTGCAGTTTGCTAGTTTATAGTGGTGATACTTTTAAGTACTCTTTGCATTGTTTCTGTTGATTTCTTTTACTGTTTTTGTTTATATCGAAAGGTTAGATTATATAAACTTAAGGTACCACATGTGTGTTCTGGGAGATAATTTGGTACACAACTCTGAAACGGTGTAACTGGATAGCCATGTTATAAAGTAATTATGTGATCAGTAATGGCAACTCTTACAGTGATTGTGTCCAGGGATTTGGCTTTGTTTCCCATAAGCTGATGTACAACTTGGCATACAGGTATGTATAATAATTTTTCCCACTGAAATTAGTGATAAGTATATGTTTAACACATGAGAATTTACTCTTTGAAAGATTTATTGAGAACCAATTATCTTGGTAAGGCTGGGGAAAGTATATATGCATAGAAAATACCTATCAAAGCATTACATGTGGGTCATCTGCATTAGGAAATTTTTAATTGCTTTTTAATTTTCTCCTTTGGACTTGACTCTTTTAAATTTTTGCAGTAGTATTTTTACAAGGAAAACGATTATAAATAAGATTGATTAAAAGATACAACTGAAAATTATAAGCAAACACTTTTCTTGGAAAACAAGTGCAGAACTATTGGACATAGCTTCATTCAACTATGAAAGTTGGCACTGCCCACAAAGTCAGGGTCCAGATGTTATTAGGGAGAACCAACGTGCCCAGGAGTAGGACCACGGGAAAGTGACACAGTTGGTCTCTTCCTTCCACCCCACCTTTTCCAGGTTTTCATTGAAACTTGTGTAACAGGCTGATGGCCTGCTCTTGACCCACAGGGACTGAAAGAAGAAGAAATTAAGAGAAGAAACTTTTGGACAATTGGAGGAAGCAAAATGTTTGTAACCTGAAAATTTTTGGAAACTACCTACATGTCTTATGTAGGTATAATCTTGCCTAATATTAGTGACATGTTTAGGCTAATTAGTGACTGGAGGAAGAGGAATGGAGAAGGAGTGTCACTTTCCTCAGGCACTAAATGCAACTGCATGCAGGGGCTCCTGCTTATTCTACACCAACCATAAAATGAGTCATGAGAGTGTTAAAAAAATGTCACTTCTCTTCCACAATTTCCTCTCTACCAGAGCTTCTCAAACTTAAATGTGCATCAAAATCAACTGGGAAGATCTTGTTAAAATGCAGATTTGGGTTCAGCAGTTGTGAGATGGGGCCTAAATTCTGCATTTCTAACAAGCTTCTAGGGGATACTGCTGATGTTGCTGGTCCAGGGTCTGAGCAGAATGGGTCTGAGAATCATGACCACCACGTCTCCAAAGTTAATTGGCCTACAGAGAGCAGACAGGGAACACTTCCACCTGGTCTCATTAGGCTCCTGCTTTAATCAGAGGCTGGAAGGGGATCAGCCTGACTGCTATGGGCAATGCTGAAGGTCAAACATAAGCCTAGGCAGCACTCAGAGTGATTGCCAAATGAAACGCTCCCTACAGACCAGAAGAAATATGAAAAAAACGAAAACTTAAAAATTAATAGGGAGTAAAAAAAATCATACAGGTTATCTTAATCAGAGAGTTAAATACAGACTAATAACTGAGAACAGAGTAGCTCCTCAGTCTCAGGGGAGAGACTTCTAAAGAACAGGAGAGTCCCCTCCATGGCTGGGTAGACGCCAGATTCTCTGCTGAGCCCCCAATGGAGCCCCAGTGAAGGCCACACACCTTTGCTGGGAAGAAAAGCAGAGGGCCTTTCCCGTTGCTTGCATCATCTTTCCTGCTCTGGTTTTGTCTTGGAAGCCTTGGGATCGGAGAAATTTTCCCAGTTCGTTTTCTTCTTGAGACAAGACTGATGAAGAAAAGACCAAAAGGAGCCATGAACAATGAGCATTTTTATTACAGAGAGGAGAGACCCACCACAAGTTCCTCTCTCTTTTAGAGGGAAAGACGGGATGAAATTAAATCCACGTGGCAAGCTACAAGGTAAGCCCTCCCCCCACCACCATTTAACTTTCATGCTGTCCCTCCACTTGAAAAAGGAGAGATCAAATTCACTTGAGTACATCTGTCAGTGGGTTTGGTGCCCTGTAATCAGAACCAGAAAATGACCTCTGCACTGAAAAGCGAGCCGATAATGTGCCGCTTCGAGCTGAAATAAAGAAAGTTGGGTTTGTCAAGTATGACTGTGGGAATCTTTTGTGGCTGCCTATAATATAGGGCCGGTTTCCTCTGCTTATTCTCTCTCACTGGCTTTTTGATCTCTGCTTTCTGAGGTACATTCTACTTGATTGCAAAGCAATTCCATACCTTATTCATGACATGAGTTTTTGGTTGGAAGTGGGAGTGGGGATCAAGGGTGGGCAGGTAATCGGGTTGAAGTCTCAGTGGGGTTTTTAAATGCAGAGCTGGAACCATGAATTGGTCATGTCTAATCCTGGCCTTATTTTTAAAGACAACCTCAGATGACACTGCTGGTGAGATAGTTATTGGTACAGCTTTCTGCAGATTCATTTGACAGTAAACATAACATGTCACAGAATTCTATGTATCTTTTGACATTGCACTTCTACTGTTAGCACTTTCCAAGGATTTAGTGAAATGGGCACAAAGCTGCAGACAGAAAAGTAATCAAAACATCAATATTTATAGCAGCAAAACACTTTCTTTCTCTACCCTGGGGACTGATTTATAAACTAGTGTGTATCCAAACAATGGAATAGTGGGCTGTTACACAGCCACTGGTCCCAAATCCACATTTACCAACAGCTGAGCAAAGAATGACACTGAGCTTCCTAAATGTTTTCTTTTCAAAATATAGCCCTTCTAGGGACTGACTTTGACCACTACTCTGATTTCACATTTACTTATTTATGCATTTACACATCATGTGTCTCTAAAAATGTTTTTTGAATGCTACTAGGATTCTTGTCCATTTTCATAAACAATCCAGAATTCCTTCAGAATGCACCCCATTCCTGACACAACCACTCCAATGAGAGCATTAGCCAGGAAACACAAATCCAAAGGTGAAGGTTACACTTGTTACTGCTTCCTTATTAATCTGTGACTGTAGTTCACATGAAACTTTCCAGAGGAAGACGTTTCTGGAATCCATTCTTCCTGAGAAATAAATGACTATCCTCCTTCCTCTCTGCCCCTCAAGAATCACATTGAGTCAAAGTCTGCTCAAAGACTACTTCCCTATGAAGTAGTTGATCCCTGTTTCTCTGTGACAGCAGCGCCCTCTTGGCTTCTGGTATTAGGTTGTTGGGGTCGGGCGTATGTCTTCTATATCTTGACACTCTAACCTTCTCAGGACAGGGACCTCATCCAACTATGCACTCCCCAGGGTGAGCATAACGTCTTATACAGGGTACTATTAAGTGCTCATAAAATTAAATTAACTATAATTTTTGCCTTATTATCCTCATATACTTTATTTCACTTTATTTTTCCTCACCACTTCCTATCCCACTTTGTTTCATTTTAAATGCTTAGCAATGATTCTATGTAGCTTAAAAAAAAAACCCTATAATTATAAGAAGTTTTGTTGTTTTATATTACCTTCTATTCCTTCTCTCTACTTACTGATACGGGACTGGATTCCACAACGAATATGTCCCTACGGAGAGCAACTTCACATTTTTGTTCATAATAGCACGAGGCTACTGTCATCCTTTTTTTTTTTTTTTTTTGCCTTGAAGTCTCAAGTCACATATAAATGAACATATTTAGCTTAAGGCTAGGAAGAAACCATTCATGGCACCTACACAATTACACAGTTGGTGAAATGTACTGAATAAACCTCAGCAGGTTGAAGCATTTGAAAAATTACTTTTTGTTATTTTATGCACTTGAGGACTAAATCTAGGGTGCGAAATGGTTTCAAGAGCTGGACTCTAATTAATTGGCAGTGTTGTTCAGAGGGAGGCAGAAAACGTTTGAGCCTCATCAGACTCCAGCTTGGATTACTTAGTGATGACTATTATTTTCCAAGAAGGGATGCCCATTTCTTAATTTTGATTTTAAAATTCAAATACTGAAATTAATTTAGGGAGCTTTAAAATTCAGGTGCAACACAGGTATCAGATAACTCGCCAGTTTCCACTTACAAGGTTTAACTTAACCAGGACTTAAGAATTCAGACACACACAAAAAAACCCTATTAATATTTAATTGCTGATTAGATTTTCAGATGTTTCCTAAAAAGGGAACTAAAACCAATTAGATTGGCAGCATTAATTCACTCAGCACAGATTTATGGATGATCTAATACATACTAGGCACTGTTCTTGCCACTGGGAATAGAGAGACAGACAAGACACACAAGGTCCCTGCTCTTATGGAGCTTTTGTTCATGTGGCAGGAGACAAAAAATAAAAAAAAATACGTACTCACAAATAAAAAACCCAAAAAGAAAAATACCAGACAGAGCAGTAAGAAGAGGGGAGTTAGAGAAGCTGCTTTGGGCTAGGTGATCAGGAAAAGCCTCTCTGAGCAGGTGACCACTAAGCTGGGCTCTGAATGGCAAGAAGGGGGCCACTTTTTTTTTTTTTTTTTTTAATCCAAGTTAGTTAACATACAGTGTAATTATGGTTTCAGGAGTAGAATTTAATGATTCATCACCTACATATTATACCCAGTGCTCATCCCAACAAGTGCCCTCCTTAGTACCCATTACCCATTTAGCCCATCCCCCCACCCAAGAAGGAGCCACTCTTAAGATAATTAGGGCAGAAACATTCCAGACATAGGAAATAGTGAGAGTAAAAGGCCTCAGGTAGCATGGTGGCTAAGGGCAAAAGTGGCTGGAGAGGTGAGCTGGGCCAGATCATGTAGGAATTCATAGACTATGGTATGGAAGTCTGGATCTTGATTCAATGTACATTTTTAAAGCTTTTTATTTTGCAAGAATTTTAGGCTTAGACTGTAAATAGAAGAGAGTTCCTGTATACCCTTTTCAGCTTCTCCTAACATTAGTATCTTACATAATCATGGTACAATTTTCAAAACTAGGAAATTAACATTGGTAGAGTACTATCAACTAAACCACAACTTTATTTGAATTTTACTAGTTTTCCCATGAATGTCCTTTTTCTTCTAGGATCTAATCCAGGATCCGACCTTGAACTGAGTTATCGAGATTCCATCTCCTTCAATCTGTGACAGTTCCTCAGCCTTTCTTGTCTTTCATGACCTTCATGCCCTTTAAGAGTACTGGTTAGATATTTTGTAGAATGTCTCTCAACGTGGATTTGTCTTATTTCTCACAATTAGACTGGGGTTACAGATTTGGGGGAAGGAAACCACACAGGTGGAGTGGCTTTCTTAGTGCATGATACCAGGGCTACATGATACTAACAACACATTGTCACTACTGGTATCAATCTGGATCACTTGATTCAGGTGGTGTCTACTGGGTTTCTCCACTGTAAAATTATGATTTCTTTCTTTTGTAATTATTAAAAATCTTGGAAGGAAATACATGACACTGTGAAAATACCCAGTTTCTCCTCAAACTTTCGCCCATTAATTGTGCCACCTTTCAGTGAACCTTGCCTGCCACAATTCTTACTGTGGTATTTGCCTAATGATGATTTTGTGGTTCCCTCATTCCTTCTGTATTTATTAACTGAAATTATTTTATACGGAAGAGCTGTTTCTTCTCCCCTGTTTGTCTATTTCCACACTGATTTAATGGATATTTACTTTACTTTACTTTATTGGTTATAATCCAGAACTACTGTTATTTATTTTGCTATTCAAATTGTCCCAGCTTAGACCATTGGGAGCTCTTTGACTGTGGTATAGACAATGGGCTGGAGAGGGCAAGGAGATCATTTAGGAAGCTGAAGCAAATCAAGTAGGACAGTGATAGACGGTGGTGGCATGAACTAAGATAGTGAGAGGATGGAGACTAAGATGGAGAGAGGAAGGAGAGTGAATGCTATTCAGGCAACAAAATGAACCAGCATTTAAGACTAACTGGATGTGGGATAGAGAAACGGTGGGGGATGTATGTCCTGTGTCTTGATTTACTCAGAACTCAAGACTATGAAGCTATAGCCCAGAAGTCTTAACTTAGTAAACAGTAACATAGAAAATTTATCAAATTCTGCCTCTAAGTCCTAGGATTTTGTACTTTCCCCCAAAGAGTCTTAATTAAAGACTAATGAAGGAAAATTATCAATTGTTACTTTGTGATTATTGGAAAGAGGTCTAGCAGCAGTCAGAAACAGAAAAGCTTCCCATGTTCTAGTCTCAGAAATATAGAAATTATACTATTAAATCATCTACGAATGGACATTTTAAAACATATTAACACATAACTTGATATTTAGCATTTCAGAGATAACTCTGAGTAATAACTTTAAGGCAGAATCCTATTTCCCAATAATCCAATATCCAACATAAAAAATGCTCATGAAGAAGCGCTATTGTCAAAATATAGTCAAGGAATTACCGATATGTGCTTTCTCTCTCCATTTTAAGAGGAACAAACCTGGATATAAGAGAGCCAGGGCAATCAAATAAAAACAACACCAATTTTTTTTAAAACCCAAACATAAAACTGAGAAAACTTTTTTATAATTAGGAAAATAAATGATATGTACTTACCCATGGGAGACCCAATATAAAGTTCTTGTTCTAGTTATTTGCATTGAATGATATACAACCTATGTAAAGAATTTCTGATAAAATTATTAGAGACCCTCCTTCCCACCAATTAAAGACCAAAGACAGCACTCCTCAATAGTAATTTCCTTGTCTTACTTCCTAAACATATGAAATGATGTATTAAGGCAAAATATCCTATTTCTCACTGTTTATCTGATCAATATGTATACTTAGGGCATACTTACAACATATTCTCTTTTGATAGAGTACAATTGCTTTAGACAAGTCCAAACAGGTTCTCTGAATCGAGTGAAACAGCTATAATAAAAACACAAACAAAATGTTAAAAAAAAAACAAACCAGACAGCAGTGAAATAAAAATTATTATACTGAACATAACTATAGTGTTTGATTTGCTCACTAAACATAAGATTGCAAGCCTAAGTATGCTTGGTGTTATGTGGTAAACTATGCAGGAACTGTGACCAGAGTCTTTAAAAATATGTTCATATTATTCTATATTTATTGGAATCCATCATCTTTGTGATCTTAATTAAGATCTCTAGAACAATAATTTCCTCCAGACTACTGAAATAATAGCTGAAAAACAGAAATCCTAAACGAAGGCACCAATTAGAGGACTCGGTAAACCAGAGACCCAATATTCATTCATAAGTTAATTTATTTATTCTCCCACTTGATGTCTTTTTTTCAAATGTGGATCCCTCAATTAAGCATCATATTTAAAACACAACATTAGCTTATTTTGTGATCCTAATGTATTTTATGGCATGCTTAAACAACTCTATAAAAAGCCAACAAAAATCAACCAGCTGAATATTTAATTTAGAAGACATCTGGTAAAACGGAGTTTAGCTAGTAGCCCTGATCATTCATTTTCCCAATGATTTCATAAGATATACAGATAATTTGAAATCTAATGTAATGCCAAGGCCGTATCAGAGGAAGGTAATGGAAAAGCAGGTGGGTGATACTGAGAAGAATCTAACTAGATTTTAACCAACAGTGGTCCTGGTCTTTGCTTCAGAAACCCAAACAAGCTCAAGAGAAAATCAAACAGATACTTCACACTGTCTCTACCCTCTGTTTACCAACTCAGAGACCAGGGCTGGTATCAGTCGGAAAACCTAGCAAATATTCTGTCTCTGAAGAGCCACCTAAATGAGCCAGAGCAAAACTTTTCCCCCTCTCTTTGATCTTATTGGCCATGGTGATGTAATAGTTATGTGTTGGTATTATGAAGTACTTCACTGTTTGAGTTAAAACAGAGGATGTGTGTCATAATAAACATGACCAATTATCTAATAAAAAGAGATGCATGCATATATACTTAAAAGATTAAAAACCATTCCTGAAATGCTTAACATGATAAAACCTGGTCATGAAGAATATAAATTTTGCTATATCTTATTTCATTACACTGTATCCTCTATTTAGAAAAGAGCGAGGGGGAAAAGAAAAACCTTTACCATAAAAGAAAACAGAATCAGCAGTCTGAATCTCTTCCTTAACAAATGCTTGATATCAGGATTCTGGGTCACAAACCACCAACACATAGTAATTCCTGAATATAGGACCAAGAAGTTCAAAAAGTATGTTCTGATGTCACTGTTCATTTTTTTTTTAAAAAACTGAGGTGTAAATTAAATGCAACTGGGGCACCTGGATGGCTCAGTCAGTTGAGTGTTTGACTCGATTTTGGCTCAGGTCACGGACCTCACGGTTCATGAGATGGGGCCCCACGTCAGGCTCTGTGCTGACAGAATGGAGCCTGCTTGGGGTTCTCTTTCTCCCTGTCTCTCTGCCCCTCCCCCAGTCATGCCCTCGCTTGCTCACTTCTTCCAAAATAAATAAACTTAAAAAAAAACAAGTGCAATAAAATGCGCACCTCTGGAATGTCCAGTTCTGCAGGCCTACACTCTTCTCACCACATCCAAACTAAGAAACCAAAGACCATCTACTATGTTGTGGCACTCACTAAAAGACCTGCCATCACAGGTTACTTTTGTCTGTTCTTAAGAGCTGTTTTTGAGACAATATTTCAGGGCGCCTGGGTGGCGCAGTCGGTTAAGCGTCCGACTTCAGCCAGGTCACGATCTCGCGGTCTGTGAGTTCGAGCCCCGCATCGGGCTCTGGGCTGATGGCTCAGAGCCTGGAGCCTGTTTCCGATTCTGTGTCTCCCCCTCTCTCTCTCTGCCCCTCCCCTGTTCATGCTCTGTCTCTCTCTGTCCCAAAAATAAACAAACATTGAAAAAAAAATATATTTCATTAACAACTAATTCTTGACACATATTTAAACTTAGTGCAACATTTCTATGTATATTAACTTCCCAACAGATTATAGTAGAATCTGACCATTATTATAACTTGGCAATAAACTTTTCTTATGCTGGCAGAATAAAAGTTCTTGTTTCATAAACTAGTGTTCTGTGGATAACTTAGGGTAAGAACACATCAAAATGGTTTCCACATCATTTACATATGTTTTATTGATGGAATCCATGCTCTCTACAAACATCAATACTAGTTTGAACATTTTTGCAACAAACACCTCTATTGTGTAACATTATTAGTCTCAGCTAAGTACTGTGGATGTTATGTGCCTCGGACAGCAGCTATTTTGATTTAAGTACAGTTGGTTCAGCAAAAATACTGCCAGGGGCGAATAAGCATAAAAATAAAATTACCATATTGTGTTTAATGAACTAATAATTACATATTGAATTCCTTTTTGAATAATACTTGTATTTACTGGGTTGTTAAAAAGAAAAATAATAAAGGTACAAGACGTGAAAAGCATATGCAATTTATAATCATTTCAATTATATGCAGAATACTAAAATCAGAACAGATGCCTCCTGGTTCTACTTTTCTCCGCTATTAGCAATCTCCATTAGAACATTCCTATCAAACCTAGCTTCAATTTGAACAATTCCAGAGACAGGGGAAAGGGCTGGGAACTGATATTTATTGCATTAACACGCACACTGATTCAGTTAGTATTTACTGCATGTGTATAGTGTGTCTGGCTGAGGATACTATGGTGAATAAGGCTGACATGGAATTTGATCTGTTAGTGGAAGTAAGGCAGACAAATGCATAAACATTTGGGATATTTTCATGAAAGATACATACTATGAACAGGGGCCCTGGGTCTGGTTCTCCCCTCAGAGGCACAGAATGAATTATCCTTCTCCCACATGACAGACCTTTCTATACAATCAAGAACTAATATAGGTCCCCTTAAGCCTCTCTGTTCCAGTATAACCTTTTGAAATCCTGGGCTTTTTACTCTGGTCCTGTTAAATGTGCAGTTCATTAACTTTAGCTTATATGCTTGTTTGTTTGTTTGTTTGTTTGTTGAGAGAGGGGGTGGGGGAGAGGGGCAAAGGGAAAGGAGGAGAGAGGGAGAGCGAGGATCTCAAGCAGAGCTTAAGCTCCCACTGTGTGTGGAGCCCAAAGCGGGGGTCGATCCCATGACCCTGGGATCATGACCCGAGCAGAAATCAAGAGTTGGATGTTCAACGAATTGAGACCCCAGGCACTCCCTAGCTTTGATGTTAAATTTAGAGATCATTTTGAATTCTTATCAGGTCGTGTACTGTTCCTCACAGAAGTGATAAGTATGCTTTTTAAATTTTAATCTAAACTATTGGCAGAATGTCTAGCAAGACAGGGAGTTAGTGGGCCTTCTACTAGTTATATTAGTATTTGGGAATCAACCAGATAGGAATTCAACTTACTGTATTTTTAACTAATCTAACTAAATATCTGCTTAGTTAATTCATTCAAGAATTTTATTAGACTCTACTAGGATCTTGTGCTATCATCTTTTCCCTTTTTTAGAACGTAAGTATTTGCCTGACCCTAGTGTAATACCATGTGCAGTGGGTTTCTGATTCCATTAACTTTTTTCAACAAGCATTTATTGAGAATTTACCACTTGCCATGCAATCCAGCCACAAACTTGAAAAACAAATTAACTGAAGCATACTAGCGGTTACACAAGAATTTGTAGGTTTTTAAAAAAGATGCTGGGGGCGCCTGGGTGGCTCAGTCGGTTAAGCGGCCGACTTCAGCTCAGGTCATGATCTCGCAGTCCGTGAGTTCGAGCCCCGCATCAGGCTCTGTGCTGACAGCTCAGAGCCTGGAGCCTGTTTCGGATTCTGTGTCTCCCTTTCTCTCTGACCCTCCCCCGTTCATGCTCTGTCTCTGTCTCAAAAATAAAATAAACGTTAAAAAAAAAAATTAAAAAAAAAATATGCTGGGATTAGGGTACCTGGGTGGCTCAGTTGGGTGAGCACCCGATTCTTGATTTTAGCTCAGGTCACGATTCCAGGGTCGTGGGATCGAGTCTACGTTGGGCTCCGTGCTGAGTGTGGAGCCTACAGCCTACTTAAGATTCTTTCTCTTTCTCTCAAATAAAAAACTATATATATATTCTGGAATTGAATTTACCTCATCCTAGATTTTCCTCAAGAACTAGTTTGCAATATGTTTTCAGATACAAAGCTCACCTAGGCTTGCCCAGGTGACCAGCTCACCTCTAGCTTGGCATCCAGGTCTGCATCAGAGGCAACAACATGCTCATCTTCTTTCTTCCCTGTGGCTTTAATAAAGGCTTGCTTCGTTTCCCAATACTTCTGCTGCATCTTATTTACTACAGACTTATCTTGAGTATATCGATCCTGTAAGTCCCAGGGATAACTGCTAAAAAAAACATTTAAAGAGGTATCTTATTCACGACTTTCACAAATATTAAGCTATTTTAGTGTGAACAAATCTATCTAACCATTATATAATAACATTAACAAACATACAGATACTTTCTTATGTGGTTATTACACCAAAAAAGTCAACCAACTCTTACTGTGAGACCTTAAAAGTTAGTGAGGAAATCAAGGGGCTTTTGCAGGAAATTGAGAAGCTAAACCTTGAAGAGTTTAGCTACCAGCAGGTTGGACATACCCCTTTTCCAAGTGGAGAAAGTAAGGCCAAACTAGGCAGGGTGCCTGGTTCAAGCAGCCCAGGGAGTTATAGAGATAAGGCCAGACACCAATGTTCTCTCCACTCTAGCATTAGAGCCGACAGTGAAGTGATGGCAGAAAAGTAGAGATAAGGGGTTGAAAAATAGCACATTTAAAATGTGTCCTAGAGGTACCTAAAACAGTCAAACTCATAGAATCAGAAAGGAAAACAGTGGTTACCAAGAGGCTGGATGGGGTGAGAAGGAAATAGGAAACCATTACTGAAGGGGTGCAAGGTTTCAATTATGCAAGATGAGTAAATTCTAGATGTCTTGCTGTACAACACTGTACCTATACTTAACTGTATTGTACACTTAAAAAGTTGTTAAAAGGGCACATCTCATGTTAAGTAGTCTTACCACAGTGAAATGAAGTTAAAAAAAACAAAAAACAATTAAAAAAATCTTTACCGATTTCTGATACTAAAACTTTAAATTTTTTTAAATGTTTACTTATCTTTGAGAAAGACAGAGAGAGAAAGAGAGAGAGAGAGAGAGAGAGAGAGAGCAGAGAAGGGGCAGAGAGAGTGAGAGAGACACAGAATCTGAAGCAGGCTCTGAGCTGTGAGCACAAAGCCCAACGTGGGGCTCAAACTCATTAGCCGTGAGATCATGACCTCAGCCGAAGTGGGATGCTTAACTGACTGAGCCAACCAGGTGCCCCTGATATTAAAACTTTAAATTCGTAAACATAAATGTTTAAAATACAGATAGGAAAAAAAAAAACATTCTTTCAGGAAGGACACAGTATATGTAAAAAAGAAATTAGAAAAAGAATTGAGATGAAATCAAATTCTGTAAAAGACCAGAGCACCTCAAATATTGACAGAAATGTTGCCATAGTGTTCTATATCTCCCCATGTTGTCTACACCCTCCTCCTGTCTAGAGTTCCTAGTGCACAGGTCCACACAGGATCCCTTGTTTCTCCTCTCTGCAGACATGTACCTTTTTCCACTGCATGCTATCACTACTCCAAAAGTGCCAGACCTGAGTCCTAAAGCATAAGTTGCTTTACATTACTACATAAAAATACCTATACCTTGAAACTTGGTGATTTCTACTCTCCTTCCAGATGGCATTTACAATTTTCCACACACAAATTTATTCTTAAAAAGTCAAAAGGGGTTTCAGTTAACTTCTTTACAAAGGTTATCATTAGAGGAGTGGGATTTGGGGGACCTTCATGGTTTCTGCCTTATTTAAAAGTTTCTTTTTAGATGTATAGACTTGTTGAACCACTATGCTCTACACCTGAAACTAATTAACACTGTATGTCAACTATACTTGAATTAAAAATTGTTTTACTATGAGCTCACATCAGAGAAAACAAGTGGAAAAGTATATAACTTTTATGTAAAAGAGAAAATCTATTTCTATAAATATGTGCTTTAAATTTTTTTTTTCAACGTTTATTTATTTTTGGGACAGAGAGAGACAGAGCATGAACGGGGGAGGGGCAGAGAGAGAGGGAGACACAGAATCGGAAACAGGCTCCAGGCTCCGAGCCATCAGCCCAGAGCCTGATGCGGGGCTCGAACTCCCGGACCGCGAGATCGTGACCTGGCTGAAGTCGGACGCTTAACCGACTGCGCCACCCAGGCGCCCCAAATATGTGCTTTAAAAGATTGGAAGGGGGTACCGGGTGGCTCAGTCAGTTAAGCATCTGACTTTGGTTCAGGTAATGATCTCACAGTCTGTGACTTCGAGCCCCGCGTCAGGCTCTGTGCTGACAGCTTAGAGCCTGGAGCCTGCTTCAGATTCGGTGTCTCCCTCTCTCTCTGCTCCTCCCTGGCTTGCACTCTGTCTCTTTCTCTCTCTCAAAACTAAACATTAAAAAAAAAAAAAAAATTAAAAGACTGGAAGGATATACCCTCCAAAACTATTTTGGGGAAACAATTTTTAGGAGTGGGGAATAGGGTGGACTTCTTTGTATTGTACCTTTTATTTACTTACTTATGTACTTATTTATTTATTGTGAAAGGTCATGGATTAAAAAAAATTTCCATTCTGAAAAAAAGACAAAGACAAAGGGACTTCAGAGATCTAATGAACACCCCTCACCTCTGTCATTTAACAAATGAGGTATCTTAGCTTTCAAAAGCTTACGAATTCTGCCCAAAGTCACACAGGATTAAAATCCAGGCCAGGGCTCATTTCAATGTTTTCTGGAGCCACTGCATTTCAGCAGCAAGCAATGCGGTGGCAGAGTTAGAGGGAAAAAGACTTTGGGGAAGTGCCCACTTCTTAGGGCTCTCCTGTCTCTCTTAGGTGCATGACTACCTACTTCCCTAGTCTGCTGCCAGGGTATGACAGCCAGTATGAGGGTCACAGGATGGAGCCACCCCTTTGTCTTAACGAAGCAAGATGGAACAATTAAGAAAACAGTCTGACAACTCTTGGTTACAAAGCTGGCAAATGGTGATACTCAGGGAAACTAAATCCCTTAGCCATTTATTAATTATCCTTTAAAACTTGTTACATTTTAAGACATGCAAAAATTCTTTTAAGGTTTGACATTTGATACTACAGAGGCCTTGGGCCTGATTACTTCTTTACTGAGACAGGAAGGATTAAAAAGTATATTCCTAAAAAATAATAATAAAATTAAAAAATTAAAAGTATAGTTATAATTAATTGTACATTTGAAACATGAAAATACACATCACAATTTTTCATGCTACAAATTCAAGAGATAAAACATGACAAAGATCTACCTGCCTGGTCGGTCATGAGTTCAGAATGGTTCAGAAACACTGCTTGTAGCAGATCTGGAATTTCTAAGACGTTTAATATGCTGCTAAGATGTGTTATAGGCATGTAAATGACAGTGCTAACATTGCCATGATTACCACATTTGACTCAGCATCATCATCTTCTAACCATATTTACCTCCTAAGTGTTCATGAAGGTTGAAGTCATGACTATAAATTAATGAGTCTGGGTTTGTGTTCACTCATTATTTTATAGCTGCCCTATATCAAGTTTCCTGATAACACTAATAACCTATAAATAAAATAGTGCTAAAAAAAGTATCAACTTATTACATTTGAAAAACTGGTAGTAAGAAAAGCCATTAGGTTCTCAAAAGAAAAGTTATATGTAAATTAATTTCTTAAGAGAATATACATTACATAAGAACTTATAATATTTTTAGTTATTTGGTTTCCATATTTATTTAGAAAAGATATTTAAACTTGACTAAACTCCATATTGGATAACGGCTAACATTATTTACTGCTAATGTGACTCTTGATTTTTCTTTTTCTTTTTCTTTTTATACAGATTCCTTTCTATCTACCTATTTACTTATATTTTTTTTAGTTTTTGTTCTTTGAGAGAGAGTGAGCAGGGGAGAAGGGCAGAGGGAGAGAGAGAGAATCTTAAGTAGGCTCCATGCTCAGCGTGGAGCCTGAGTTAGGGCTTGATCCCACAACTGTGGAATCCTGACCTGAGCCAAAATCAAGAGTCAGATGCTCAACCAACTGAGCCACCCAGGCGCCCCTAAATCATGATTTTTTTTTTGCAACACAGATTTACTGAGCATATACAATGTGCTTTCTTCTTTCATTAGTCTCTCCCAATTCAGAAAAGACAACAAAATTACTTACCATTTGTGTCCTGACATGTTTTCTTCTTCTTCTTTTTTCTACTGTTGATGATTTGGGGAGAAGGGGCAGGGAAAAAGCATGAGAGGATAAGTTATATTATAACCTGAAATAAAACAAATGTTTAACAGTTAACACTATAATTATATGTTAATCTGACACACATAAAATTTTTCAATCCTAAACCATTTATAATTGTACTTTAGGGGCCAAACACTATTACTCAGTAACACTGTACACTGGTGTTGAGAATAGTTTAATGCTGGAAGAAATATCCCAGATGAAGTATAAGCAGCAAAAAGGCAGATTGCATGAGAAAAGCAGGTTGCAAACGACTATATAAAATATGAGACCACAAAATACAAAATAACTGAAGTATACAAATATTATATAGTAAAGGTACAAAAAATGGCTAATGATAAACACTAAATTCCAGATGGCATTTAGTACTGCAGAAGTGGGTGGGGGATATTATTCAAGAGGGGTACATAGGAGCTTCAACTGTACTCATAGTGTTCTCTTTGTTAAGACTGATGGTGAATAGATTGCATCTATGTGTCTCTTTATAGGTTAGAAATATTTCATAAATGTGCTCACTTTGGCAGCATATACACCAAAATTGGGACAATAAAGAGAAGATTAGCACGAGAAACCCCAAACCAGGAAACCCCACCCACCCACCCATCTACCCAAGAGAATTGGAAGGCAGAAAATACAAAGGATCATGTGTTAACTGTAGAGTTTGGTGGGGAGAGTTGTGAGGGTCCAGACTCCCTGGTGCTTCTTAATCTGTTCTGGGTCACAGGAAAGAAGAAAAGTAGGTCCTTGGTGCTTAAGACTTGATCTTGTGGTTGGCCTTTGGCTATGCTGCTGCCTGACTCTGTCCCCTCCCAGGGACTGACCCTTAGCCTAAGTAGCCCTTGGTATGTGGGCTCTGGCATAGGGTCCTGAACTTGCCAGGGTTCCCCATCACAGGGAAGATGAAGGAAATTGGGGAATTAATCACAACCCCTCCAGTGTATGAGGGTATTGGCCTAGCCACAGGTAATTCTTTGCCTGATCTCTCTCCCATGCCCTGGGAAATAGCTCTCAATTTTTTATTTTTAATTTTCATTTGAAATAGAGTCCTTAGGTAGCCAGGAAAGAAAACAAAATATTTCATAATCAATGTTTCCAAAAAATGAGCCAACACATTGAAAACAAAACAACAACAACAACAACAACACACACACACACACACACACACACACACACACACACACACACACACAAACCCACAAAAGGCTAACATTAGATACCAAGAAAGGGTAGAAAGGAGGAAAATGTGACTATTTTAGTTCTTACTGTCCTAACATTGTATTTTCATCTCATTAGTAAATATGGAAGTAACTCTAGTTTTTGTCCCCTACTTTCTTTGCCCTACTCAGGAAAATGGCCATCCTCAGGGGCAGAGCAAACCAACCCAACCCAACCACATTTGCCTACCAGTTTCTGGAAAGACTGGAGAGATTGTTACCTAAAGGAATGGCCTCTGTCCAGACACAGAATGCTGGCTGCCAGAGTGAATGCTCAGCACAGAAGTGCTTCTGGCTACTCCACAAAATCAACCCACCTATTCTCCCTCTGCATCAGAAAGGGTCCTGGCAATCAATGCCCCTCAATGATTAATTTTTTTTAATGTTTTAGGGAAACTAAAATGAAAGTGTTAAAATTCCAGGCTTCAGGTGTAGGGACAGGAGAGAGGAAGGAAGACGTTTTGCTGGAGTGTCTGGATGTCTCTGAAATGACAGCATCCAATAATCAGCATGTCTTTTCCTCCTGGAGGGCATCCAAGTTTTTGGACAAGATGCTTTGGGAATGACATTCATGATGAGTAAGCTTTGCCCTCTACTCAGTAAATCATGGAAAGGCCACTCATTTCTAGTCTTAACACCCACACAGCTTCCCTGCAAGTATGCATTTACTTTATTTAGCTTTAAGCTTCCAACAAAATTTCTCATGAAAAGGTACTGTTCGAGGAAACAAAATTCTAGTCTTTCCTTGAGTCCAATTTCACCATGAACTATTAGGTCAGTTGATACTTTTTCATTTTTAATTAACACTTAATTATTTTTAATTGTGGTAAAAAAACAAAATTTATCCTCTTAACAATTTTTTAATGTGCATTACAGTATTGTTAACTATATGTATATTGTTATATAACAGATCTCCAGAACTTTTTCATCTTGCATGACTGAAACTCTATACCCATTGAACCATTCCTCATTTCCTCCACTGCCCCCCCAACACTGGCAACCACCATTCTTCCTGTTTCTATGAGTTTCACTATCTTAGACACATCATATAAATGAAATCATGCAGTATGTCATTTTTGTGACTGGTTTATTTTACTTAGCATAAGGGTGTCAAGGTTCATCCATGTTGTAACCTATGACAGGTTTTCCTTCTTTTTAAAGGTGGAATAATATTCCATTGTATGTACAAAGCTTATTTCTTTACCCATCCATCCACTGATGGACATTTAGGTTGCTTCCAGATTTTGGCTATGAATAATACTGCAATGAACAAGGGTGTCCAAATATCCAGGTTTTTTATATATACATATCCAGAAATGGGACTGATAGATTGTATGGTAGTTCTTTTTTTTTTTTAATGTTTTATTTTTGACAGAAAGTTTTGCACACATGCACAAGAGAGGGGGAGGGGGAGGGGCAGAGAGACAGGGGGACAGAGGATCTGAGCAGGCTCTGTGCCAACCTGATGCAGGGCTCTGTGCTGAGAGCCGAGAGCCTGATGTGGGGCTCCAACTCACAAACCGCGTGATCATGACCTGAGGCGAAGTCAGACACTTAACTGACTGAGCCACCCAGGCACCCCTCATATTGTAGTTCTATTTTTGATTTTTGAGGAAACTCCATACTTTTTTCCACAGTGACTGCACCATTGTAAAATCCTACCAACAGTACTCCAAGGTTTTCAGTTTCTCCATATCCTCCCCAACACCTGTTGTTTACCTTTTCTTTCTTTTTCTTCCTTCCTTTCTTTCTTTTTCTTTCTTTCTTTCTTCCTTCCTCTTTCTTTCTTTCTTTCTTTCTTCTTTCTTTCTTTCTCTTTCTTTTCTTTCTTTTCTTTCTTTCTTCCTTTCTTTCTTGTGGTAGGAGTCACCCTAATGGATGTGGGGTGGTATCTCACTGTGATTTTGATTTACATTTCCCTGATCACTAGTGATGTTGAGCCTCTTTTCAATGCTTACTATCCATTTGCATATCTTCTTTAGACAAATGTCTATTCAAGTCCTTTGCCAGTTTTTCAATTGGACAATTATGTTATTGCATTGTAGGAATCCTTTATATATTCTTAATATTAACCCTTTACAGTTTGCAAATACTTTCTCCTTTTCGGTAGGTTGCCTTTTCACTGTTGATTGTTTCCTTTGCTAAAACGTTTTCATTTTCGATTATTAAAGTATTTAACAATTTAATTTCTTTGTCATGTAATAATAGATAATAAAAATCACTGAGCAAAAGGGATGCCTGGCTGGCTCAGTTCGTGGAGCACGCAACTTTTGATCTCCGGTTGTAACTTTGAACTCCATGGTGGGTGTGGAGATTACTTAAAAATAAAAACTTAAAAAAAAATCACTGAGCACACTGCCCCTTCTACTTGGACTTTTAAGCTATTTCTGGATTATGATGCCAGTGTTCCTCAAGGTACTGTTTATAGGCCACGTACACTGGAATCTTCTGGGGTGTTAACAGGCAGATTCCTAGGCCTCATTCCTTTACCTAATGATCCAAAATCTCTGGGCAGTCTGGGAATCTGCATTTGTAACAGGCTTTGCAAGTGATTATGAAGCACATTAAGTCTGAATACCACAGCTAAATGGCATACAGGAAAAACCCTTTCTGGAAATGGATCTTAACCTGCTGAATTATAATATAGTACTACAGCAAAGAAATCATGGGTGGGAAAATCAGATCAACTCTACAGGGCATATCTAAATGTCTCATGAGAAGGCAGCTGTAGTCAGGACTCCCATCTCCAGCCCCATACACCAGGGACAATTAACACACATTTTAAGATTTCCGCACAAAATTCACCTCATCTTGCCCTACCACTTTCTAAATTCACAGCATCAAAATCACTACTTTAAAAAATCATTATACTGTTTCAGATTCTGTGTCTCCCTCTCTCTCTGCCCCTCCCCCGTTCATGCTCTGTCTCTCTCTGTCGCAAAAATAAATAAATGTTGAAAAAAAAAATCATTATAATTCTCATCCATTCCTTCATTTCAGTTCAACAGTTTGGTTTATCTAACATGCACCACACATCTAATTATATGCACCAGGCACTGTCCTAGCCTCAAGGAACCTACAGTCTAGATCAGCTCTGTCCAGTAGAAATACACTGTAAGCTACATATGTAATTTTAAATGATTGAATAGCCATGTTAAAAAGTAAAAAGAAACAGGGGTGCCTGGATGGCTCAGTGGGTTAAGCGTCTGACTTCGGCTCAGGTCACGATCTTGCAGTTTGTGAGTTCAAGCCCCACGTTGGGCTCTGTGCTGACAGCTCAGAGCTTGGAGCCTGCTTTGGATTCTGTGTCTCTCTCTCTCTGCCCCTCCCCTGCTCATATTCTGTCTCTCAAATATAAATAAACATTAAAAATTAAAAAAAGTAAAAAGAAACAGTAAAAAAGTTTTAAATAATATATTTCATTCAACTCAATATATCTAAAATATTATTTCAACATATAATCAATAAGTAATTTACTGATATATTTTGCATCCGTGTTTTTGTACCATCTGAAATCTGGTGTGTATTTTATACTTACAGTACATCTCAATTGAGACTTGCCACATTAAGTGTTCAATGGCCACATGTGGTTATTAGTACAGTACTGGACAATGTAGGTTGAGCCATTAAGATAGACTTATAAACATAATGTCCAGATCCAGGAGACTCTTGAAATTTGCAAGGGACATATAAAAAGATCTTTGTGAACCCCCAAATTTGTAAAATCTGCTGTTAAAAAATCATTT